CATTACCACGAGGTCAACACAGGGGCCCAGGACTCTACCCCAAGGTTGGGGGCTGATGGCGGCTTGTGATAGCCAAGTTCATGCTACAGCAGGCTTTCTATTTAAAGTGCTTCTGTGACAACATGGGGAATCATTTTCTCCAGACAAGTGCCTTGTTGGAGGTATACCTGCCACTCCACTTCCATGGTTCACAGAGCCAAGATTTGGGCCTCCAGCCAGGAAAGTGTTACATATTGGAGACATGTAATGTCATGCTTTTGCCACCACAAGCGTCTGTTGAGTGTGTGCCCAAGACCAAGGATGCAACAGGAGTGTCACTGTGCCAACCTCAGGAAGCCTGTGATTACTAAGAACAAAGGGCAAACCTAAGCTTTTTTTTTTAGGAAACAACATTCGGAGGCAAATTGAACAGCAGGGCTAAAGTGGATTAAAATAAAGATTAAACCACTTACACCTGGTGCAGTGTGTTCATAACTTTTAGATAGAGGATCCCTAGAAAAGCTAGTCTGGGGTATCAGGCAGGGAAAACGAAACCTTGAGAAGATGTGAGGGCAAGCCCAGGTGAAGGGAACTGTCCTTGATCACCCCAGCTCTTCACTTAGGCTAACATCTTAGAATGAGCACACCTTGGGTGTTCTGGAAGAGCCTGATTAGAATGATAAAAGATGCTATGTGGAATCCCTTGAAATGTGAAACAAAACTAGGGTGCTAAACACGTCCTTTTTTATGCATTTATCCCCACAATCACATTAAAATCTACCCATCTGGACAGTAAAGAAAAAGGTGGACAGGCAAAGACTGCCGCTTATGGGTTTTATTATGTATCTGTGGTGCCTGAATAACTTAAGCTTAAGCCACCTGGAGCGGTGGGGGGGATGAAATCTCTCTCACAGCTCTTATGTGGGTTGGCAAGGGCTTTATCTCAGCTTCCATAAACTATTATATCATTCAAGTCCAAAACATACCAATGAGACAACTCAAAACAAAATACAGTACAAATTTATTGACTCCACTCAATCTTAGTTGAGATTTAAGCAAAGTAAACAGACAACTGGATACAAAGAAGCGATGGCTTAACATTAGATAGAATCCTATTTCACTATGAATTTTCAGTCCAAAAAAGCTTATTCCTAAATAAAACTGAACAATGATTTCTCTGCTGAGGCATACGAAACAAAATACACACAGTTATAAAACCACATTTGTTGTTCTTTTAGCAATAAGCATTTATTCAATAAAAATTTTGAAAGTCTTGGATTAATGTCAAGAAGAAATTATCACTTTTGCAAATTAACCAAGTATAACTTTGTAGAAAATCTGGACAGCACGAATAAATGACTAAAGAGCACTGAATTCAATGCTTTTAAAGATTTACAGTAAAATACTTTGGTTCCCAAATGACTGCCTCTAAATGGGATTTTTAAAAAACCTGACATTGACTCATTTTTTTCTCCTCCAGAATATAAAGACAGAACATGAGTTTTCTCCAGTCACGCGGCAACGTGACGCCCTGGCGCATACCCGGAAGCACACCAAAAACTATGCGAACGCCAAACTCCTTAAAGTGCTAAAGCCACAAGAGAAAAAACTATGTGTAAAACTTAAAAAAAAGCCAGTGTTAAAGAACTTTTAAAGAATATGTGCTAGCATTACTGAAATCAATAATGCTTTTCACAATTATTGCAAAAAACATCAAAGAGACATCAGAAATTGATAAACTGACTTGTAACATTCCAATATTAATTAGTGCAATTTAGAAAGAAACATGTTACGAATGACATGTAATTATTTTTGCAATAAGAAATGAAAATAATTTTACCTTCTAAAGTTCCAGATTATGGTTGTATAAACACACACACACAGAGTTTGAGGGAACAAAGGCCGACTTGGACCAGTCCATTCCTGTCCCTCCCTCATCCAACCACAGGGTTGGCCTAAACACACCTCTTTTCTCCATCGAAGGGCACATTTTATTCCGGTCTCAGTTCCTACTCTTAGCACCTATGGGTGCTATGTGTGGACCAGATGATCACCGATTAAGTGCTGGGGTTATATTTTTTAAGAGAAGGCTGGGATGATCTGTTCCCAAACAGAAAACCAGGAAACACATCCATCTCCCTACAGATGCAGACAACATCACTCAAACTGTTGGTTGTATATTTTGACAAAGTTATAAACGCATATTAACCATAACCAGTTCTAAAAGTGAATAGTCTCTTACTCTTTAAATATTTTTACTATTAAAAAAAAGTACAAGATTTGTTACCTCCATTACTTATTTTGATAAAAAATGCCCTTTCTGTGGTGTTCCTCCCTCCCCCCAAATGAAGAAAATGATCAGATAACAAGTTTTCAGATTAACAAAGAATATATTAAAACATCTGACATTCTTTCCACAACTGCATAAAAAGGCAGGCATCCTGAATACGTACAAAGGAGTAAGGAGCTTTCTACATTTTCCAAAATTAATTACAATCAGAAAAAAAAAAAAAAGATTTTCAAGAATATCTTTACTAGCTAACGCATTTCAGCATGAAAAGACCAATTTGTCTTATACCAACAGGCTGAGTTAAACAGTCTTAAAAAAACACTTTACTGAATAAAGCAATTTATCTGTCTTTCATTATTTTACATCTTAACATTTAAAATAGTCAAATGAGAGGAAGCCTATTTTTTTGACCACCAAAATAAACTCTTCCAAGTCTAATGCTTTTAAGGTACAGTATAAAAAATAATAGAAAAACCAGAACTGCATTATAAATGTTTTTGGTTCAAAATTTTATTTGAAAACTTATGTTCCTTGCCTAGACAAAAATGTGGACAAGACAAAACACTGGCAATTTTTAAAATCTAACAGATATGCGGAGCCTATATTTAGATCAAAAATATTTTTTTTTTTTTACTAATTAATGTTATTAAAAAATCTTCAAAAATGTAGCATAAAGGTTCAAGTCCTGGGATACTGAGTTTACAAAGCCAAGATCCCATGAATCAGGGAATTATCCACCCAGCCTCCAGCGCCATAAGAAAGCATTACTCTGAAGGGAAGTGTCTTCTTTTGAAGTGATAGCTACCAGGGTGTTCAGAGTAAGAAATACCACATTATGCAGGGAATGAATTCCTATCCTAATGTTTCACAGAAAACCACATGCTCTTACTCTGTCTTCAAAACGCATAGGTTTGTTCAAGGAAATCTAAAGATGGCAATAATCAATAATGGCAACTTAATTTTATTTTCTCCATCAAATTTAAGAACAAAACTAGGAAGTAACCACATTTGGGGACTTTTGATAGTTTCCAAATGAAAGAATAAAAGGCAAAATTGCATATGTAGTTTCCACAATATACAAAGTCAATTAGAACTTTATAAAAATGCTTGTGTTTCAATAAAAAAGTAAGAATCTCTTTCCTACTGTTGGTATGGAATGTGGGTTATGAGACTATGAACAGACTTCTGCCAGAGGACCAGTTTAAGTACTCGGCAGAGTATTTCTCAGTCACAGTAGTTGATTTTCTTATCTGAAAAAAGAGCCTGCAAAAAAGTTAATAAACTTGGAGGCTTTACCATCAAGGTCCATCATTACTTTGAAAGAATTTAGGTGTTGCGACAATATTCCTACTTTTATGTATCTCATTCCCCACCCCGGCCAACGAAATAAAATTCTTTTCCTTTTTAAGCGTCCCAATGAACTCTGGATTATACCAACTCAAAGGCTTTAAATTACAATTTATATAAAATAGGAAAACAAATAAAGCAGCCCAAGCACTATGGGCCAAAATAAGTAGCAGAAACTAAATGTGGACCCTTGAGACTACTTTCATACATATTTATGAAATATTCAGCAGTGCCTTAAAGAAGGATGGTTCCACTATGGACATTTTACCACTGTAAACTCCAAAAAATCCTAACAGAAATCACAATACAAAGAGGCAGGAAAACTGATGACTGTACAGGTTGTTCTTGAAAAGGGTGTGGAGACCGTGGTGTGCCTCCTCCCTCTGCTTCAAGTCTCTGAAAGTGAACAGTAATTCGGGGTTTAGAGCAGCTGCACTCACTCTGGGGGGTGCTGTGTGAGTACATGTCCTGACTTTACCTGTTATACTAACGTTAAATTCAAAATTTGTGCCATATGCTAACTGTTTTCTGTCCCCAATACACGGAGTTTCAACCTGTGATGGCACAAACTGGGGGAAGCAAACCTGCACAGCCCCTTGATGCTAGTCTGAATTCAGGGCCCTGGGGGGTGCTCTGACCACCACACCCACCACCACCACTGCTTTGGAAACCAAGGTGGAGGGCTTCCAGAAATCTCCATGCTTTCCTTTCCTGAGTCTTCCATCACTGATTATATGAAATGAACCAAGAGTAAGTTTTTTGTTATTTTATATAAACCTAAGTATTACTATTGCTGATTTTAATTTCTCACAATTTTCATACAAAAAAGGTTCTAAACAACCACAAAATACCAAATATTTATTTTTATCAAGTGTCAGGATATCTATTAAAGTTGAGGTGTTTTTTTTTTAATTTTATTGCTGAAGTACTCTAGGATCTTAATACTGCAAACTACTCCACTTTGTTCTCGTATGTTTGGACTTGAGAACATGGCTAAGATGCACGAACTTAGGTTTCTTCATAGAATCTAAAGAAATACTTTCACAGCGTTTCAATAACTGAAAATCAGTAAGAAAAACCCAAACCACCTCAAGTAGATTATACTGACACCATGGGATGCGCAACCATGCAGACAACCGAGAACAAGCTTCCACAGTAATAAAGGCGTTGCTGTAAGGTCCAGAAGCACAAGGCTGTGCGGAGTTTTCCTAGGTTGAGTAAGGACATTTCTCATTATATCAGTTTACCTCAAACTTATATTCAAGCATAATAATTTGCAACCTTTATTATTCTTCTTTAAAAAATATCTTTTTTTTTTTTTGACACAGTTCGTAATTCGCGCTGAAGTCTGGAGACCAGCGCTTGTCTCCAGGGCTGAGAAGTCTCAGTTGTGGGTCTGCTCGTGGCTCCAGAGGCTGAAGGCCGTCTTGAATGTCCTGTGGCAGAGCTTACACATGAACTGTCTTTTAAAAGTGATGGCGGAGAGGGGGGGCGCGTGGTAGAACAGCGTGTCTGACTCTCGGGGAGCGAACAGCTTCTCGGCAGTGGGAGTGGGGGTTTCGGGCAGGCCTGTGGGGCTGTCGGGCTCCAGGGGCTGAATCTTGGGCAGCGGCGGGGGCAGCGGGGGTGGTGACGGGGAGCCGGTGGGGCCTGGGCCAGCCTCGGGTTCCCGGTGCGCAGGGTCCTCGGAGGCCTGGGCCATGTGGGACTGGAAGTGGCTCCAGAGCCGGAAGTTGGTGCGGAAAGCCTTATTGCAGACGTGGCAGATAAAGGGCTTCACAGAGCACAGTAGCTCCTGGTGCCGCTCCAGCTGCTTAGGTGTTGGGAAGGTCTTGCCGCACTTCTCGCAGGGCCACAGGTCCTTGGGGGCCGCGCTGGCCTCGGGCGCCTCCTCCTCGGCCTCCTCTGGTGGCTCCTCTTTGACCTGGATCTTCAGCGGCTTAGAGAGGCTGAGGTCTTCGGGGAGGCAGGTGGAGTCTTCCGAGTCAAAGTTCACAGGCTCAGGACCGCGGCCACCCCCCGCGGGGTCGTCTTTGGTGGCAGGGGCCGCGTGGTCGGCTCGGCCAGGCTCGGGCGGGACAGGGGGCCGGGCAGGGCCGGTGGCCTCACCATTGAGGTCAGGCCGGGGTGGGGAGGTGCCGGCGGCCGGGGCCATGCTGTTCTGATTGTGCACCTCCACCTGGTGCCGCCAGATGCTGAAGGCCGACTTGAAGGTGCGCATGCACTCCAGGCACGTGAGCTTGCGGAACTCGCACTTGCTCTCGTGCTCGCGCTTGAGCTCGGGCGAGAAGAACCTGAGGCTGCAGTAGGGGCACACGGTAGCAGTGCGGCACAGGCGCTCGTGGTTGCCTTGCTCTAGGAGAGAAGAGAGCTTGGCGTTACAGAGGCGGCACAGATAGAGCTCCGGGCTGCCCGCTGCGCCCCCGGGGGCCACGCGCTCCCTGGGCCGCGCGGCCCTGGCAGCCCCAAGCGCCTTCTCCCCCGGGTGCATCTTCACGTGCTGCTTGAGCTGGGAGAGGAAACGGTAGGCCTTCCCGCAGGCCGTGCACACATACGCGCCCTTGGCCCGAGAGCGCAGGCCCCGCTTGAGGACCTGCGCTGGGGAGCTGCCAGGGCCCTGGAAGCCCGGCCGGCCGCGCCGCAGCTTCAGGATCAGCGCCTTCTTGATCTCCCGCTCTCGCACTATATCAATGAGCTTCCTCTGGAACTTCTCGTCCAGGACAGCATGGGAGCTGGCGGCCGGAGCCGGATTTTTCACCACACCGTGCTGCGTCTGGCAGTGCGTCCACACTTTGAAGTTGGTGTGAAAGCGCTTGTGGCAGATGTCGCAGGTGTACGGCTTCTCGGGGTTGTGGTACATGTTCACGTGCCGATGTAGGCCCGCCGTGGATCTAAAGATTTTAAGGCAATGTTTGCATTTAAACTTTTTGTTTGGTCTCATGCCCTCCAACTCACCGAATTCGTCTTTGTTCAAGTCAGAGCCTGGGAAGTCGGCCTGGAGGGCAGATGGGCTCGAGCCCTCCTCACGGGGGTCTCCCGACCCAGGTGAGCCTGGGCTCTCAGCCTTCGGTTGCTTGGCTGGCAGCCTCCTGTCCGCCTGGAACCGCCTCTTGGCCGGGAGTCTGCTGGGGTCTTTCCGGTCGTCTTCTGTCTGTAGGGCCAGGTCTCTCGTGGAGGCCGCGGCATCCCCCACGGTGACACGAATGATGTCGCATGGCTCCGGGGGGCTGCGCGGCTCGGCCTTGACCCGCACCTCCGGCCCCAGGGGCGCTCCCGGCCGCTCAGCCGGCTGAGAGGCGCTGAAGGACCTGAGGCGGTGAGGCTGCGGGGCAGGGGCCCGGGCGTCGGGGGCCGCCGTCTCACCCCCGTCCTTGGAGGGCGGCCTCTGAGAAGAGAAGGCGCAGAGCACGCTGCCCGCCACATCGCCCGAGCCTCCGCCTGGGGGAGGCTGCAGCTCAGCAGTGGGTGTGTACACAGGGACTTGGCTGTCCATGGACAGTGACCGGCGCAGGAGGCTCTTGACGAGCGGGCCGCTGCGGTCCACACCCTGGGCCCCAGGCGCCGGCGCTCCGGCCGGGATGACCAGCCCCAGCCTGGAGTAGTACAGCAGGTTCCGGTCCTCGCCCGGCCCGCTGCCTCGGCCCCCCTCCTTCAGCAGGAAGGGCGTCTCGGGCGAGCCCCGCAGGGATAGGACGGGCGGCCGCGGGCTCCGCAGTGCCAGCTCCACGGCCACCCCTTTGGGGAGCAGGGCGCTGGCGCCTGGTCTTTCGTCCACGGCCGCCCGGTCCAGTGGGGGCTTCGAAGGCGGTGCCACGGCCCGCTTGGCCAGGCCACCCCGGCTTGGCTCCTCTGAAGGCCCGGCGAGCTCAGGCGGCCTCGCCAGAACTGCGGGGCCATCTTTCGGCCAGCTTTTTTCAGCTGGAGCCACGTGGTGCAGGGGCTCCGTGGGATTGGGGCCGGGGGGCTTACTGGCGTTTGCCTTGACCGCGATGCCGGGGGAGGGCCGGGGAGGGTGGCTCAGCTCAGGGGTGTTCTGACTCCCGGCTTTCCCAGGGGCTTCATTCCTGCTCTGACAAACGATGACGCTTCTCTTTTGAGAACTGTTCTCCTCATCCTCAGTGAAAGTCTTTTTTCTGTTGGGACACGTGGGAAAGGGGGCCTGGGGCGTCTTGGAGGCGATGTTCGTCAGGAAGGAGATGCCCAGGCTGTAGCCAAGCTCCTGCACGGCAGCCAGGCTGCTCTTCTCCACGAACAGAGACGAAGAATAGATGTAGTTCAGGACGTTGTCGAAAGCATCTGGCTCACAGAAGTCCAGCTGGAATACAGTCTGTGCCTCGTTCTCCTTGTTGGTGAACAAGCTCTGGAAGTATTCACTGCTGGCAGCCAGGACGTTTTTATGAGCTCGGAACTTCTGGTCACCCACGATCAGGAGTGCGTCGCACAGCTGCCCCTTGAGCCGCTCCTCGTTGAGGGCGCTGAGGAGAGAGATGGCGTGTGCTGGGTTGATGTAGTGCAGCAGCCCCTCCATGCTGGGCCTTATCTGAAAGACAGATAAAGTCACTGTGAACAAGGCCGTGGGATGCTCCCCCAGGTGAGGGCTCCTCAAGGGCAGGGAACAGCAGCTGTCTTCTCACCGGTGTCAATATTTAGCAGACTGTGGCCTGACAAAAACTTCTGGATGAATAATCTTATTTAAATAACACAGAAAATACAAAGAAACAAGTATCACGGCTTAAGTAGGTCATCGATCATTAAGACTGACGAACTTGAGGAAGTAAGTCTCTGTAACAAGTGTTTTATACCATCAAAAAGGCAGCTAGAACTTGGCGGGTATGTAGAGAAGCAATATTTGAAAACAAGGTTTATTATTTAGGGCCCTTATCCATTTAAAGCTTAATTCTATTCCCTACTAGATCAGAGAGTAAGTATGAAGCACCAAATTCTAGTCCACAATTCTGAAAAGAAACAGTTTACTACTGGACGTGATTAAACACAATGTGAATTAACAACAGGCTGCAGAGGTCGCAAACACAGGTAAGAATCTGGAGAGAGAGCCACCGACTCATTACCGTCCCATCAAGGCGCTTAAACAGCTAAACCTAAGGGGTCTGACGAGATTTCACTGAGACTCTTCAAGTCTGTAGGTGACATCTCAAGGCCTAGTGGCTGGGTGCTGGCTCCGCTCTTGTGGTCAACTAGTATCTGGGATCATCAGGTCCCTCATACAAGACGGTAACAACTGCGCCTTCCTTTAGGGCTGCTCTGAAAATTACATGAGCCTGAATCTCATACCTGGTAAGGACTTGACAAATGTGCCATTAATTTTCACAAGTTGAAGGGTTACCAGACATTTAATTCAGAATAAAAGTGTCTAGATTAACTCCTGATGAAGATGAAGCCATTTCACACAGAGACGATGCTTGACTCTCCAAATCTTTCTCTCAGGCAGCTGCTGCCATAACATCATCTCATCTCTTTGGGCTGGTTTTACAAGGCCATCTCTTCTTTAAAATACTTAGGACATGTATTTTTAATATAAAATGGATTCAGAGTAACTAAGATTGTTCAGAGAGTCTTACCATTCTCTAGAGGGCACTATCGATACACAGACATGGCACCCAGCACACCTGCAGGTTCTCCTCTGGCTTCAAAGGATCAGCTTTTGCTGGTTACCCAGCCTCTGGTCAACACCCTCTCAGTATCCCTCTAGAGATACCAAGGGAACATTTCATGCAAAGATGGGCACAATAAAGGACAAAAATGGTATGGACCTAACAGAAGCTGAAGATATTAAGAAAAGGTGGCAAGAATATACAGAAAAACTACACAAAAAAGATCTTCATGACCCAGATAACCATGATGGTGTGATCACTCACCTAGAGCCAGAAATCCTGGAATGTGAAGTCAAGTGGGCCTTAGGAAGCATCATTATGAACAAAGCTAGTAGAGGTGATGGGATTCCAGTTGAGCTATTTCAGATCCTAAAAGATGATGCTGTTAAAGTGCTGCACTCAATATGCCAACAAATTTGGAAAAGTCAGCAGTGGCTACAGGACTGGAAAAAGTTAGTTTTCATTCGAATCCCAAAGAAAGACAATGCCAAAGAATGCTCAAACTACCACACCATTGCACTCATCTCACCCGGCTAGGAAAGTAATGCTCAAAATTCTCCAAGGCAGGCTTCAACAGTACGTGAACAGAGGACTTCCAGATGTTCAAGTTAGATTTAGAAAAGGCAGAGGAACCAGAGATCAAATTGCCAATATCTGCTGGATCGTCGGAAAAAGCAAGGGAGTTCCAAAAGGAAACCTACTTCTGCTTTATTGACTACGCCAAAGCCTTTGAGTGTGAGGATCACAACAAACTGGAAAATTCTGAAAGAGATGGGAATACCAGACCACCATACCTGCCTCCTGAGAAATCTGTATGCAGGTCAAGAAGCAACAGTTAGAACTGAACATGAAACAAAGGACTGGTTCCAAATTGGGAAAGGAGAACGTCAAGGCTGTATATTGTCACTCTGCTTATTTAACTTCTATGCAGAGTACATCATGTGAAATGCTGGACTGGATGAAGCACAAGCTGGAATCAAGATTTCGGGGAGAAATATCAATAACCTCAGATATGCAGATACCACCACCCTTATGGCAGAAAGCGAAGAAAAACTAAAGAGCCTCTTGATGAAAGTGAAAGAGGAAAGTGAAAAAGTTGGCTTAAAACTCAACATTCAGAAAACTAAGATCATGGCATCTGGTCCCATCACTTCATGGCAAATAGGTGGGGAAATAATGGAAACAGTGACAGACTTTATTTTCTTGGGCTCCAAAATCACTGCAGGTGGTGACTGCAGCCATGAAATTAAAAGATGCTTGCTCCTTGGAAGAAAAGCTATGACAAACCTAGACAGTGTATTAAAAAGCAGAGACATTACTTTCCCAACAAAGGTTCATCTAGTCAAAGCTATGGCTTTTCCAGTAGTCATGTATGGATGTGAGAGTTGGACTCTAAAGAAAGCTGAGCACTGAAGAATTGATGCTTTTGAACTGTGGTGTTGGAGAAGACTGGAGTCCCTTGGACTGCAAGGAAATCAAACCAGTCAATCCTAAAGGAAATCAGTCCTGAATATTCATTGGAAGTACTGAAGCTGAAACTCCAATACTTAGGCCACCTGATGTGCAGAAGTGACTCACTGGAAAAGACTCTGATGCTGGGAAAGATTGAAGGCAGGAGGAGGAGGGGACAACAGAGGATGAGACTGTTGGATGGCATTACAGACTTGATGGACATGAGTTTAAGCAAGATCTGGGAGTTGGTGATGGACAGGGAAGCCTGGTGTGCTGTCGTGCACGGGGGTCGCAAAGAGTCAGACACAACTAAGTGACTGAATTGACAGCCTCTATGGTCTTCAGCAGAAGCCACAGAGGCTGCCACCTGGAGTGACCAGTGTCTGGTGGCCCCAGGTCTCCCTCCCTGCTGCCCTGGCTTCCTGCTGTGGTGCTGACTCGACTGACAGAGACAAGGCTCTGCTTCCAGGGACGAAGCTCGGAGCCTGTAGCTTGTACAGAGACAACTGCCTCGGTCAACCTGCGTTGAGTTGCTGTTCAGTCTTGCCTGGCATCGTTTTACCTTGATGGTGAGTGCCTCAGAGAGACATTTTCCCTTCTTTTTTTCTGATAGCCATTTAAATTTCTTCCTTAATCCTACTACACTGTACTCACACACCTAATTATGTGCAAAGAAATCCTCCATCATTTACAGAGGTCAGCAGAGAAAAAAATAAGCTTATAAATGCCATACTCATAACTCAGCTGCATTCTGAGAACTATTTTTAGTGCAAATAATTTTTGAGACAGCTAGTTCAGATGTTGCCCCAGGGACAGAGAGGCTCAGGAGATGCAAAATCGAAAGTCTGGACAAGTACTTTCCAAAAGGGTTCCTTAAAATCAACTTAAAATTGATGTAGTCTTCCCTGGGTATCCACAGAGGGCTGGTTCCAGGCTCTACAGACACCAAAATTCATAGACGCTCAAGTTCCTATAAAAATGGTGCAGTATTTGCATATAAGCTATGCACATCCCCCCAAACACTTTAAATCATCTCTAGATGCTTACATCAATGATACCTAACATGATGTAAATGATACTTAGATAATTGCTGGTGAGCAGCAAACTGAAGTTTTGCACTTTGGAACTACCTGGATTTTTCTCTTTTTGAATATTTTTCATCTGCAGTTGATTTGAGTCCATGGATGTGAACCCCATGGATATGGAGGACTGACTACAGTACATTCCTTCCTGTGGCTCAGAGTTAATACAGTTTAAATGTCAGTGCTCTAGATCCCCTAGATCATGGCAATTCACTCCAGTGTTCTTGCCTGGAGAATCCCCATGGACAGGGGAGCCTGGCGGGCTACAGTCCATGGGGTCACAAAGAGTTGGACGTGACTCAGCGACTAAGCACAGCACAGCTCTAGGCTAAGGTGCTAGAGCTCTCTGAGCCTCAGTTTTCCCACCTAAAATAACGATAGTATTGATAATGCTACTGAGAATTAAAGGAGAAAACCATAATTGCTACCATTTATTCAGCACCTATAACACATTACAGGAACTTCACATTATCATTCACTTATTCACTCACTCAACAAATAGCATTTGAGGCGGCCTGGAAGACACATGGATGGGCCCTGAGGATCACCAAGGGAGGGCACACAGGCAGAGGGAAGACAAGGTCACAGCAGGGCTGGAGCAGAGCTGAGGGAGCTGTGGAGGAGGATGCTGAAGTGAGGAGGCATCGTGACGGGCTGGGTGGGCCACTGGAAGGACTGCACTTTTTACTAGGGCAGCTGCTGGAAGATTCTGAGCAGAGGAATGACAACCACCTGAATTTTGTTTCAAAAAGATTCCACTGGTTATGCTGCAAAGAATGGAGCACAGGAGAGGCTGCAAGCTGGGAAGTCAGCTGAGAGTCCACTGCAGGGATACATGCCACACAGCGTGGTGCCTGGACTGGGGCGGCAGGAGTGGACGCAAAGATAACCATTAGAATTTTTAAAGGATTGACTGCAGAGGATAGGAAGGGGAAGAGATAAAGATGTCTCCAAGGTTTCTGCCAGAACTGGAAGGATATCCTTACCTGAGATGAAGTTTGACAGAAAAATTGGTGCAAAATTTTTTGGGGAATGTATTTAGATATTCTAAACATGCACAGGAACCTGGTCGTTTAAGGGACCCTTTGGGGGCACCCTTTCCTGCTCCACTTTCCCTACAACCTTTCCTGTGCTTCCTGGGGTTAACTTCCCAGATAAATATCTAAATCTGAAATCTGTGTTTCATTTGGGGAACCCAAATGAAAAAATCAAGGGACTGTCTGAAGACAAAACCAAGTGAGATGTTCTGCGTCCCTGGACAGGAAGCAGTGCTGACCCACACACCATCTGCTCCCTACTCCTACATTTTCTCACTTTTAATTGTTCAGAAGAGTTTCCTTCTTTGTCTCCCTTCCAATTATCATGACCTGTATTTCTGTTCT